ATTGGGGGAGGGTGGAATGAACTGGGAGATTAGGATTGACATACACACTACCATATGTAAAACAGATAGCTAGTGGAAATCCATGGTATAGCACAGGAGTTCATCTCTGTGCTCTGTGATGACCTAGAGGGGTGGGCTGGGGGAGGGAGGGGTATGTGTATAAATATAGCTGATTCACTTTGTTGTACAACAGAAATTAACACATTGTACAACAATTATATTCCAAAAATTAAAATATCATAGCTGGCATTGTTAGGTATTTCGTAGCTTCTTCTGGCCATAATTTTAGGATATGGCAGACTGGCAGTTGTCCAATAGGATGTATTTCCCCCATATTTAGTACTAGCATTCCCTGAGTATTTCACTACACACATGGCCACCAAGCTGGAGACTTCATTGCAGCATGGTGCAGCCATGTGATTAAATTTTGACCAATGGGACATGGACAGAAATAATGGTACCACTTCCAGGTTATACTCCTTAAAAAAAAAAATGCACACTGGCTACCCTGCCCTTTTCTCCTGACTTGCTAGTTAGGAGATGATATCAGGAACAGTTGCCTTGACCCAGTGGTGTAAACCACAGGAGAATCTGGTAGAACCACCTTACCATCTTGGACTATGTACTCCTAGACTGTTTCTTGAAAAAATGGTTAAGCTTATTGTGGTGGTTCCTGCTGCTGCTAGTATTTAATCTTTGTTAAGGTGCTATCCTAACTAATAAAATTTAAATGAAAGGACTGACATACCACCTGATTTGGGGGAAAGGTGAAAGGAAGAGGAATAAAGACTCAAAGCCAAAATGAAACACTTCTGGTGCTGGCCAAGATGGAGTAAGCACACCACAGCGTTTCTCTTCAACTGATTGTAACTGAACAAAATGTAGAAAGCAAGCAGGACTCTGAAAAGCAAACAATAGCAGGGGGATTATGTAAGCAAGTCAAAACCTGAAGAATGATTAGCATAGTGATGAACTTACTGGTGACTCTTCTGGTTTGCCCTGAGGACAATCTAAGATCCGGGATGACACACAGAGCATAAACTCAAGAGGAATCCCCTCTTCCAGCCAGAGAACCAGGAAAAGGGACCCCTGTGAACTAGAGAGTAAGGGGAAAACCCTTCTTGTCCTCCCCCTCCCTGGCGTGCTCCAAGTCAGGAGCTGAAGCCATGAACTGCAGTGACAGCGGTGATGGCGGTGGCATGCCAAGGACCTGAGAAGCTGAGACAGCCTGTCTCCCTGGCCAGGGGAAGCAGGAGAAGGCACCCCACGGTCAGAAGTGTCGGACGTATCCCTGTTGTTTGCTTCTGTCTTGTCACTTACTGCTTCTCTTCTGGTTTGCCCTGGTTTGCTGAAGCTCCAAGAAAAACTCTGGCTTTTTAGACAGAGGACTAGAAATAAGAGACTGGAGAACATTAAAGAAATTCCAGAGAGGAGAAAGCTGGAGAAAGAAATTCCTTAATTCTGTGTGTGAATAGACACAAGTCTCAGGTTTACTCCCAAGCCGCACGTGAAAAACAGGCCCAAAGAAAACACAGACTTTGAGAATTATAGAAGAGCCAGGCAGAGCCCTTGCAGTCAGGTCTGACAGAGCAAGCTTTTGGAAGAGAAGAGGCCGACTCTTCTACCCACAGATGAGATAAAACTTACACTCTGAAAGTCAAGATTTTGCTTGCTCAAAAAAAAAGTCAACATCCTACAATGGATCTTAACAAGGTGGGAGAAATAGTTACCGGAGTTTTTTTTTTCCATTTATTTTTATTAGTTGGAGGCTAATTACTTTACAATATTGTAGTGGTTTTTGCCATATATTGACATGAGTCAGCCAAGGATTTACATGTATTCCCCATCCCGATCCCCCTCCCACCTCCCTCTCCACCCAATCCCTCTGGGTCTTCCCAGTGCACCAG